GCCTCTGCAGTGCAGGTTCTATTCCCAGAGGCCAGAGAGATACCTACATGGTGCCGCAGACCTCTCCTGTCTTGCCCGCTGCTCCCCTCAGCAGTGCTTGTTCTGTTCCCCTATTTGTCTCTGATGTATCATCTCACCCTCCCGCGCCTCCGGCCTGTACCCAAGTTCTTTTTTTTTATTATATATATATATATATATATATATACTTCATTTCTTAAATTCTTTTTTTATTTTTATATGCCCCATACAATTGTGATTCCTAGCAATTTGTACAGATTGATTTGTATATAGAGCACTTGGAACAATTGTTGAGATGTCATGTAGGTGTCATATCATGTTTGTGTCACATACACATACCACATAATCAGAATAACAGTTTAAGTTTGCAAGGCTCTTTCAGGAGGTAATTTTGACATATAATCCTAACATCTTGACTATATAAAATTATTTTCCACTCAGGATTTCAAAACAGAATTTAAATGAAAGGAGGTAATTTTGAAGTTACATGAAGTTTGCTATTGTTTTTGCCCCTATATTTTTACATTATGTTTATGTCACTGTAAGCTATGTAGTTGGATAACTATTGTTTCATGTTTATCATTACAGGTGTAGCTTCATATTCAATGAATCAGAAGATGAAGGTGTTCCTTATTTGTGGTCCTTTGGCCAGATACACTATGTTCCAGATCATTATATTAGACATTTAAATTTACCTTATCGATGTAATTTTTTTGTGGAGAAAAAGTGTACAACATGTACACTTGCATAGGTCTGTTACTGCTACAGAGCAACCCCGATATAAGACAGATTGCCTGACTGTGGGTCCTCACCCGCGCGCTTAAAGGGGACTTATTAATGCTAAACTGCAGACATACACAAATGTTTGATAAAAGGTTTCTTTACAAGGGAAGGGGAAATGGGGAAATGAGTAATTCAGGGGAAAAAAAGAGGGAGATAAATTCATAAATGCATCCCACCCATTCTGCTGACCTGGAATCCCAATCACCACTGAGCTGGTGAAAAACAGAGCACATCGCATGGCCAAGAGGGTGACCCCCAGCCACATGGCCAGCTAAATACTCAGACCAAGAATCTAGCTGCTTAACTCCACCCCCGGGTCCTCGCAACCTTCCCTTTGGCGATCATGGGATTTGCCTTTCCCAGTGTTTTGATGGATTGGGGTGGAGTCCACAAAGCCTGTATGGAGTCTGCTCAGGACATCCTTTCCCCCTAACATTCCCTCATGGTGGTAGATGACAAAGTTATAGATGTCCCTGTGGAACTATTCCCCAGCCCAAATTATCTGAAACTGATCTCCTTGTCAACTCAATCATCCTCCAAACACTGATCTATATGCAGAAATCTAATCTGTTCAATGCTGAGTCTTATGTTCATTCCTCTGTTTTTATTCTATATGAAAATTTTCTTTGGGAAAGACAATGTTTGATGGACAATTCTGTATGTCAAATGTACATCCACAAAGCATAAAATATTGCTTTTGAACTCTCAGTAGTAGGATATCAGAGAGTAGATTTATATTTTATTCAATGTTTAAATTTTATCTCCAGACCTCATTATGTAAAAAATTAAAAAAAAATCCTTAAGGAATGAATAAACTGATAGGAAATCTCATTTAGGAAAAAAAAAATAGAATGTTCTTTAATCTTAATCTGGAGAGTGCAAATACATGGGCATTTCCAGATAATCAAAATAACAATCTAAATTTGTATGGTTCTTCTAGGAGGCAATTTCGGCACATAATCCTAACATCTTTAGTGTATTAAAATAGTTTCCACCTAGAATTCCAAAACTCAGAATTTAAATGAAAGGAAGTAATTTTGTAGTTTCATGAAAGTTTGCTATTTTTTTTTCCCTATATATTTAAATATCTTTTGTCTGTGTCACTGTAGGGTAAGGTAAAAAAAGTATCAGGCTTTTTTGCCCTCTGCCATTAGGATTGATGATGGTGGATCCCTGTGATCCTGAATACATGCCTGATGGCAGGCACCTGGAGTAAGGTGTGGGCATAAGATTTGGATTCCCCTGGACTGAGAGACTGTGCTCATAAGGGCGGTGTCATGGGGATGCCAGCGGAACAGAAGAGAGCAAGAGAGAAAGAAAGAGCGAAAGGGACACCCGAGGGAAAGAGATACCAGAAGAAAGCCAGAGAGCCCAGTAAGAGTGAACACTTGCTGGGGGCTGAGGAGGCCTGCCAGCCTCCTGGCCCTCTAGCACCCCTGCCTGTCATGTACATGGTAAACCCAATAAAAGCCAGAAAAAAAGCCACCAAGGGGTCCAGGACGCCTCCTTCATCCCGTCTGCTCCATCATAGAATCCTGCACTGTGCCCTTCCCGCCACTACAGTCATCTTAATAAAATCCAAGGTCAATAAAAGGAGAAATTTACTTCTCTTTTTCCAGTCATATGGCATGTGCTGAGATTACTTAGCAGTTAGAGATTACTCAACAATAATCTGTTAAGTAAATTAAAGAATGATACTTAAAAAAGAAATGAGAAAAGTACATTGACCTAAATGTCAAATGCAAGGAATTGGCTAAACAAATACGGCAAGTTATGAAATAGATTAAATTTATCTAAAATTCATAATACTTTGGGGGGAAGACTTGAAGAATATAAAAAAAAAAAAACTCAAGACACATTTTGACATGATGAAGCATATTACAAAAACACAATCCTAATTTTGCAAAAAAAAAATGTCAAATAAAATACTGACTATTGATATGGACCTGATTTTTTTTATTTCTTCTTTTAGATTATCCTTATTTAAAGTGTACAAATAAATTGCATTATTTTTTATGTTCAAACAGACAAACAGCTTTTTTATTTTTAAAGAGGGTTATAAAGACCATCTTGCTACTTCTTAATAGTTAGGAATTAAGTCTAAATAAGCATATGGGAATGCTACCTGGATTACTAGTATGAAAAAGCTATATTAATATATGAATAAGGAAGGTACAATTAAAATTTATTTGTAAGGTTGTTAGGTGTAGGGTAAATGATTGTAAGGCATTTCTGCACTCCTGCCATTAGGATTGATGATGGATCCCTGCGGTCCTGACTGCATGCCTGGTGCCAGGCACCTGGAGTGGGGTGTGGTACGTGGGATCGCCTGGGTTGAGATGGGTCTATAAGGGCGGCGTCACCAGGACGCCAGAGGAACAAAGCAAGAGAACCAGCAGAGAACAAAGAGGGAGAGAGAGAGAGAGAGAGAGAGAGAGAGAGAGAGAGAGAGAGAGAGAAAATGAGAAGCAGAAGAGAGAGAGACAAGGAGAGAATAATGGATTGCCCAGGAAGAGTGAAGATTAGCCAGCCTCCCGGCCCCCTGGCACCCCTCCCTGCTGTGTACCTGGTAAAATCCCAATGAAAGAAAAAGAAAAATACCAGATGGTCTCACTCATAGCAAGAATTTAGAAAACCTAAATAAGGGACCAGGAAAAAGACTAATTATAATAAAGAAAAAATCAAAATCAACAAGTATAAACCAGAGACACACTCTGGGGGGGGAGGAGAGGAGGGATTAGGGTCAAAATAAGGAGGGTGGAAATAATATGGGGACTATATTCAAAATGAAAAGGCATACATTGTGCAAAAATGAAAAATGATGTAAGAATTACATAAAACAAACAAAAAAAGCCTGAAAAAGCCACCGAGGACTCCAGGACTGTCCTTTACCCCACCTGCTTGGATCATAGAGATCCTGCACTGTGTTCTTCCTGCCGCTACATTAGGTAATTTTCTCTCTCTCTCTCTCTCTCTCTCTCTCTCTCTCTCTCTCTCTCTCCCCCCGCCCGCATCTCCTTTTTAACTCCATTAGCTATTTTGCTAAAAAAAAAAAAAAAAAATCAATTACAAATCTGTCTATTTAGCCATTTTAGCCATCATCTCCAAAAACTGGAATTGGGTACAATCTCCTTTTCTTCAAGTACCGGTGCATCTCAGAGCCTCCTTTGATAACAATAAACTGAAATATATCAGAGTTGTTTTTCATTAGGTCACAGTAGACCACAATACAGTGATAAACAACCTATGGCCTATAAATTTAACTATCTTGTACTATAGTGAATGTCAACTTTAAATATTAATCTGTAGGGGAGAAAAATTATGTACACTTTTTGAGGTAATTTGTGTGTGTGTGTGTGTGTGTGTGTGTGTGTTTCTCCTTTTGGGCAATCTTACTATTTTTTCATTATGCTACAAATAGTCTAGTATTTTCTACTCTACTGAGACTTTAACTGGAGGAGAAATAACTGACAAGGAATATAGGGAATTTATTTATTTTTGTTTACACAAACAAGATCAACCTTAACAAGGATTTACTCAATCTGTACTATTTCCATGTTTACAGACCATAGGATAGAATCTGCATGTTGATTATTATTTAGGTTTTTGTAAATTATTCCTATCTTCAGTCTTTAAAATGTCTACAAGAACCACTTGGAATGTTATAGAAATCTTGATGATTTCCTATTGCAACTATCCCATGTATAGCTTAGAAACTGAATTAATTTATGATAACTTTATATTATTTTGCATGCTCAGAGATAGCAAGATTTAAAAAACTTTCTTTGTATATGCCATTCATACTTGCTGCATTATTAAAATTATACAGCTTATTCAAATCCTTATCTTCTGTATTTTACTTAGTCTACAAAAAAAAAAAATATGGTAATAATTGGGATTGAATTCAGACTATTTCCAACTGAACATTTTCCTCCTCTTCAATGGATTCTTGCCAAGTATTTTCCTGTCCCCCTCCACTGACAAAGGGACTGCAGAATCTGCTTATAAATTACTTAAATTTCTATGCTTGTGCTTAAGCATATCTCTGTGTGCTATCTATATACTCAGTATACTTATTTTTCTTCCCCTTATCTTTTGTTTAACCCACGCATCATTTACTTTCATGAGCTAATAATGAGTACATAACCATTGTTTGCTGAGAAAAAATGATTAAGATTATCCCTACTTATTGATCATACCTTGAGAATCTTGCACATAATCTCGTAAATTGAAAATGTTTTCTCTGCTCTGGTCCAGTCCCAGGTAGTCACCTTTAAAAGATGAGAAACTAATATGTCATTTGTTTTAGGAAGATAACCCTTATTTATCATTATATTATTTATTCATTATGGTACATAAGGCAAACATTCACATATGTATGCTTTAGCCTCTCTGTTATGAAGTTTTCTCATAAAGGTCTATATGTAATTTTTTGGTTTCCTCTCCTTCATGCTTTATTACTATTTATCTTTTGTAACAAAGGTTTTACATTATATACAACAATTTCCATTTGCCCAAAATATCTATGTAACTCTATGTATTTTAAATAATGGGTGTATTCTCTTACATAAAAATAGTGCATACTTATATTTTACACATACAGCGTTTGTTTTTTTTTTTTCTCCTCAGTTCATTACCAGCTACATGTGGTGAAGAATACCACATAACAACACTAGCTTTAGTTTTTAAAAATACATAATTTATATTAGGAAGTCATTCCAGGAGGTGAACACTTTTTGACATTGTGAAGCACCCAAACTATGAAGATGTTATTTCACTTAAGTTTTAAATAGTCATAAGAAGCTTTTAGAGTAGAAATAGAGTATATATATATATATATATATATATATATATCATATATATCATATATATATATTTATATTTATAAATATATATATTTATATTTATACAAGAACTGGGGTACAGGCCAGATTCGCGGGAGAGTGAGAGGATTCACCAGAGACAGAGTGGGGAACAGAACAGGCAGACTGACGAAATACATTGCTGAGGGGAGCAGTGGGCGAGACAGGAGAGGTCTGTTTGCCATGTGGGACCCTCACCGGCCTGCCGGGATTGAACCGGCACTGCAAAGGCTGCAGACAGCCCCACAGCACTGTGCTCAACCACCTGCGCCACTAGGGGAGGCCCAGTAAAATATATATTTATAGCTTTTTTCCTTGCTTTCTTGGTGATGTGACTTTGTGTAGATGTACACATTCAAAATAGCAGCAAGTTGGACCTCATAATTCCTAGATCCTCTGAATTGATAATGAGTGCGAGTAGTCTGCTATTTGATATTTATATTTGATATTGTTTATTGAGTATCTGCTGTTGTATAAGGTACATGTTTCTGAAAGCAAGGCCTTAGGTGCAACAGGTACCCATGCATACATATATAATACAAACCCAATGAGTAGGTTAGAGGACGTAATAGATTATAAAAAATAAGATTTCTTAAATAGACTTTTGCCACATAAATGAATTTATTTTTTCTATCATAAATGTCTACATGAAATACGCTCATGTTTTCCAAGAGTTATGAAGAAATGTGTAATGCTGAATATAGGTCTATAATACGATATTTTCAGAAAGATTTGGAGTGCTTTCTAATTTTTTCTATATCTTACTTTGAAAATACATTGATAATATGCTATTTGTTTTTGTGACACTGATGCCACAGTGTTGTGATAAAATTGGGTAAATAAAAAATTTTGGATAAAAACACTTACTGGAGGTGCCAGAAATTTGTAAAGACATGAGCCCCTGAGAGCTAAAAATGTTGGAGAGTACACACGATCCTGAAGTGAGTCCTGCTCCCGTGCTTCACACCAGCCCATGTATACTATCTGCAAGAAATTGAATACACTTAATTGTAAAATAAATGTCATTGCAGATGTCTTCATGAACTCTTTGTATATTGTGACACTTTAACTTTTATAAAATTATCAATTTGATGCAAGGAAGTATATTAGCAATAATTTAACATTAATAAGTGAATCTAAACCACATTAAATTATTGACATCATACTTTTGTCAGCATTTATAAAATGTTAGTTTATGCAATTCACCACTATCCTTATTACATATTTAACTGATCCCACCAATTTCCCAATTAGTGACCTTTTGTTGTATGGGAATATGCTCCCAAGATAAATATTTCAGTGGACAAAGGTGATAGGTTATGAAGATATTGTTGATGTGAATATCACTAGTGTTTTTACCACATCTCCCCTGGGATGACAACGTTTCTCATTCCAGTCACTAATTTTCAATGAATAAGTACTTTTCAAGCATCCATATGTTAAATGTTAGTGATAACAATTATTTTGTCTCTAGCTTTTAAATATGGAGAGTCAATTTATTTATTTTTTATTTTTTATTTAAATATTTTATTTTATATAATTCTTACATCTTTTTTTTTCATCTTTGCACAATGTATGCATTTTCATTTTGGTTATATTTCCCATACAATTGCACCCCCTCCTTATTTTGACTTATGGAGAGTCAATTTAAAAAAGAAACATGATAGATAAACCAACCCTCTTTTCATCATTTGATTGGCAATTCCTGCTCTTTTAAATAGGATATGTATTGTCTAACTCTTTATTATTAATGTATTACTTTGAAAACTGTAACATATGTATCTATTAATAAGGACTTTACCCCTTAAAGATCATATAATGATAATAAATTATAATCATAGATAATTTGTATTGCTAACATGACCAGGTAGATTCTTAGTCAGATAAAATGATAGTTTAAAAAGAGCAAGAGTAGTTTATTAGTTGTCCATACCATAAAGAAAAATAACTTTGACTTAGTTAATGTGTGTGTGTTTAAAAGTTAGTTTCCACTGTCAGTTGTCATGCATCAATAATTGAGTTAAAATAAAAGTAAGAGGATAGTTTCCATTTTCAGCTGTTATGCTTTATGCAATTCAGATAACCCATTAACTGAAATTGCCTTGGGAACCTAGGAAAAAATTGTTTTAATGTGCTTAAAGCACTGGGTAATTTACAAAGTACTAAAGAATAACCAGGAAAAAAAAAATCCACATGAAGAATAACAAAGGTAAATCTCAAAGTGGGTCAATTTTTGTCATTGAGGTGCTTTTTAATATAGAAGTGGTTCATAATAGAATGAGTTTTTGTTATTCTCATAGATATAAGGCATACTATTAAAGTCTAGGACACTTCAAGAGTAGCAGCTTTACTACAGATGTTCTGCTTTTATTTCTGATCAAATATCCCTAAATCTCCAGAGATTACAGTTCTCCCTGGAGCCTCTCTGAAGGAAATGGGAATTCTCTCTGATGATGATATTATCTCCCTATACCTCAATTTATTTTCATAGAAACTTTTTCTGTACAAAATAATTATAACCCAAAATACAAGGAAATAAGGCATTACAAAGTACATCAGGAGACTAATATAAGTAACAAAGACAGTAGACAGCAGAACCCAACATTTAGTCACTCCAGATATTGGAATTTTCTAGCATGGGCATTAACTGTGATATGTTTACTCTTTAAAAAACCAATGGAACAATCTTGAAACATTTATCAGACAACATGACATACCATATTTTATTATTTTAAATGTTTATTGAAGTAATATTGGCTTACAACACCATATAGATTTCACATAGACATCATTATAGATCAACATCTGTATGTACTCTATTAATTTTACCAATAAAGATCTATTCATCATATAAAATTGGTTCCTTTACCTCAAAAACTGGTTTTTGTTTTATCTGTTCACTTCTTTGCATTCTCTATATATGAGTGAAATCATATCCTCATTAATTCACAAAACATAATATCCTCCAAGTCCATCAATGAAGTTACAAAGGGTAAGATGTCACCATTTTTATGTCTGAGTTGTATTTCCTAGTTTGTAAACATAAATTCTTCTTTATCCAACAATTTGTAGATGGACACTTAAGTTGTTTCCAACTATTAGCTATTATAAATGATGCTGTGAATAACATGGAGATCCATGTGTTTTTGCTTTCTTTGGGTAAGTACCAGAAGTGAATAACTAATTTTTTTATGGAATTTCTACTTAAAATATTTTGAGGAGTGTCCATATTGTTTTATAATGACTATAATAATTCACATTCCTTTTACACTTCATAATTGTTTCCTTCTCTTTAAGTCCTCTGCAACATTTTCTGTTTTTATCTTTTAGATAATTACTATTTTCAAAGGTGGCAGATGATAGCTCATTTTGTTTTATTTACATTTCCCTAATTTAAGAGACAATGAACACTTTTTATGTGTTTGTTGGTCATATGTATGTCTTCTTAGAGAAGTATATATTTAGATGCTTGCCCAAATTTTAATTAGGTTGTTTTTTGATGTTGAAGGTTAAAAGTTTTTATAAATTTGGATATTAAGTCCTTGTTAAATGTATCACTTTCAAATATCTTTTCCTATTCAGTGGGATGCTTTGGCATTTCGATTATAATGTATATCTGACATAACATATTTTAAAATACCAATTAGAAGCTGGAGAAATATGTACTTAGAAAACATTGGTGTAGTAAAAAAAAAATAAATTAGAAGCAAATGAAGAAATAATTAGTGAATTGAAATATAGAAAAAATATATATCTAAAATTATGGATAGAGAACCACATATTTGAGAAAAAATGAGAGTAAGAAAAAGGCATGGTGTGTTTGGAAGTATACAACACTTTTAATTTTAGTACCAAGCAAAAGAGATGAGTGGAAATAAGCAGAAGATATATTTGAAGAGACAATGGTGAAAAATTTCCTCAAATAGATAAGAAAAAGATCGATTAAAAATTCAAATATTTAACATTATGTTTTATTAGACAAGGATATATTTTAAAATCTTTAAAATAATTATTTCAGTTCAAGTGATAATATCTATTTTTTCTAAAAGGCATAAGATAATAAAATAGCTGTTCTGATTTTTGGGGGTTATAGCTTCCCTCAGCATTCTTTCAAAGTCAAGGAAGAAGGAGGAGTGTAGAAAAAGGTGTAAGTAGAGGTTCTTTGCTTTGTTCCTGGGAGGATAATCTCAAAGTATTACAGAGAGACACTGAACAGAGAGGGTCCTGGGAAATAAGAGTGCTGCACATGACAAAAGGACACTGCGGAAATTCAATTTCATATAACAAATGGAGACAACTGGAAACTGCAGTGAGGGTGGAATATTTCAGTGCAAATTTTTGCTAATGAGTTTGACTAGTTAACATGGGATGGGGAGAGCTTCTTAGTGTGGAAGTACACCCTTAGCTTTTGGGGGGAAATGTTTGGAGGAGCTGGGATGTGCCAGATATTCCAGGTACCCAGTAAAGATGACAGGTCCAGAGCTGTACTCCCAAACCCCCACCACATGTTATGTTCCATAACATCTGGAAATATAGAGAAGGGCTATAAGTGTTGACACAACATTAGTCATTTCCCCCACACTACTTTCAAAGTTATTGAATCCCTCCACGTCCCTCTACAACTCCTTGACTCAAAATCACAGATAAATTCTCCCTGAAATTCCATGCCAGCAAAAACTCAAAAAATTAAAAAAGAGCAAAGCAGTGTAATATGCTGGCATGAGGACATTCTATACCAAACAGGAAACTTAAAAAAAAAAAAATAGAATAAACAGGAAATCTACAAAATGGGAATACAGAAAAAAGCAACACTTGGAACATTGAGTCCTCAAGGGAATATTTGACTAAAGAGAGAGAAATACTTTTATAGAATCACACAGCTAAGACATGAAAGATCTTTCCTTCCTATCAGATTCAGAGTTCAAAATTGTCTTGACTAAAAAAAAAAAAAAAATCGAAGAAATGGAAAAAGAAAAGCACAGAAATATTGACCAACCAAAGATATACAAGAGAACAAGGAAAAACAAAATAAAGAATATAGAAATTACAGTTTTATTTATTTATTTGTTTGTTTTTTTGTGGGACCCTCACCGGCGGCCTGGGAACGAACCGGCGATACAGAGGCTGTGGGCAGCCTCACAGCCCAATGCTGAATGCTTCGCCACCAGGGGAGGCCCAGAAATTACAGATTTAAATGAGAAAACAACAGATACAAGATGCAAAAGACTAATAAAGTAGATTAAAAAAAATTATCTGGAGCATGCTATGGAAAAAGAACAGACCACTCAGGAGACTGAATCAGTAACATTGAAGATGGTAATGCATATAATGCATAGAATCCAGGTGAAAGAAGAAGATAAATATCAAGAAAAAAATAAAGCAAAACTGAGAATTATTGATTCCAGGAGGAAAGGCAATATAAGAATAATGAAAATTCCAGGGCCTCCCCGGTAGCGCAGCGGTTGAGCGCTGGGTTGCGAAGCTGCCCGCAGACTCTGCAGCACCGGTTGGATTCCCGGCACTCCCTGGCCACCGGAGGAGGGTCCCACATGGCGCGCAGACCTCTCCTGCCGCCCGCTGCTCCCCTCAGCAGTGTACTTCGGTCCTTCTGCCTTCTCTGTTCCCTGCTCTGACTCTGGTGAATTCTCTCCCCCTTCTGTGCTTCTGACTATACCCAGTGCTTGTATAAATAAATAGATAAATAAATAGATACATAAATAAATAATATTAAAGAATAATGAATATTCCAGAAAGGAATTAGAGACGGAAGAGAAAACCTATTCAAAATAAATGATAGAAGAAAACTTCCCAAACATAATGAAACTTATAAAAAGACACACAAATGTTAAATTTCTAAATGCTCAATTCCAGAGAAGAATATTGAAGATGGCTAGGGGAAAGAAGAATATAATCTATAATTTCCCCATCATGTATATAACTAACTTTCCAGAAAACATTATGGGCTAAGGGAGGATAGAATGACA